GGCATACCCTCTTAGCATCCTGGCACGCTATGTTGCTCCTAGGAGACACCAACCAGAGCACATGGATGCAGCTAAGAGAGTGTTGCGCTACTTGTGCAGTACGTCGAGCATGGGGCTCGTGCTTGGAGGGCGGGCTCGAGTTGTCCTCACTGGTCACGCAGACGCTTCTTGGGTTGACGACTTGGCTACGCAGCGGTTGTCACAGGGTTACACCTTGGTTCTGGCTCTGTCTCGTGGCGTTGTACCTGCTTGTCCTTTGTTCTCAGCTCCAGTTGTGAGGTTGAGATCTACACAAGGGCCATGGCTGCACAGGAGTTACGCTGGCTCACCTACCTGCTGTCCGACTTGGGAGAGCTGCTTGGAGGACGGTCTCGCGTTGTCCTCACTGGTCACGCAGACGCTTCCTGGGTTGACGACTTGGCTACGCAGTGGTCGTCAAAGGGATAAACCTTCAGCCTTGGTTCCGGCTCTGTTTCGTAGCGGTCTACCTGCTCGTCTTCTGTTCTCAGCTCCAGCTGTGAGGTTGAGATCTACATAGGCGTCATGGCTACACAGGAGTTACGCTGGCTCACCTACCTGCTGACCGACTTGGGAGAGCTGCCTCATTCTCCTCCTGTTCTGTATGTCGACAACAAGGCCATGATTGCCTTGTGTCAGGAGCATAGACTGGAGCAGAGAACGAAGCACATCGCTCTGCGCTACTTCCTTGCTCGAGAGTTGCAGCAGGGTGGTCAGCTTCGTCTTGCTTACGTGGCCACTTGGGCCAACACTGCTGATATCTTCACCAAGGCACTTCAGCCTTGTGATCATCAGCGTTTCTGTACTCTATTAGGTCTTGTGCCTACCTGGCCTCACTTGCTCACCTCTTGACTCTGCTTGTACTGTGATCTATATATATCTGTACCTGCATGCTTACACTTGTTAGGTTGAGATCAATGTACTGCTTGTTCACCTTGATATATAAATCTGCATGTGAACTGGCCTTGTGGCCTTTTGCTTATGCTCAGAATGTGTGGTGACGTTGTGATTCACCCTGAGCTTGACCTTGCCTTGTTCTCTTGTTTTTCCACCACTTTGCCTATAGGGGTGTGTCAGAACTATACTCTTGGTTGTAGTGGGGCACTACTTATGGGGTACAGCCCTGTTAGGTTTTGCCTAGACAACCTTGTACTGTTCCCATTCTAGTCGTTCTCATTTCCCTACTTTGTAACAGAGTAAGGAGCGACGCCTCCAACGCCACACCAAGCCCCTTGCGCCTCTCCTTGAGTGTTGCTTGAGTGAGAGGAATGCATGGCTCCCACTAGAAGTCGGCCACCGTGTCTGTTGTCTACCACGGGTCTCGGTTCCGTGGCAATGTTGCCCACACCTCATTGACGCGCCTTACCTTCCCCATTGTCTCGCACATTTTGTGCAAGACTACGCAGCAAGACGCACCCGCCAGCACGCGCCACAGCTAGCAATCGTTGCGGCCCGCGAATAGTCACCATCTGCCTTTGAAAGCACCGATGCAGCGTTCTACCGCCATGCGCGTTGCGCTCAGGCAGTAGTTGAAGCAATACGCTTAGTCTTCTATTAGGCCCTCACAGGGTGCATGTAGTGGGGTCAGGCAGAAATCTCTGAGTGGGTAGGCTGCATCTCCCACAATTTGATATGGCGCTATGTCGCCGTTGTGCCACCTTTCTTGTAAAGCACTGTCCATGAACACCCTTTGGTCATGTGCACTCCGTGGGTACTCGATCAGGTAATCCCATAAGATGCCACGCGCATCACGTGTGCGCTGTAGTTGGACTGCGTACGCCGTCTTTCTCGTGTAGAACTCTTGTCTGTGCCCTTCCATCCCTTTTATGTTTATGTCCATCCCATCTATAGCCCCAACCACCGCAAGTACTCCTTTGACGACACGGAACTCCACGGCCATCTCGGCGAGGTCTTCTGGAGTCGGGAGGTGCACCCATTGCTGCATGACGATGCTCGGGAAGTGCATCAACCACACGTCGACGAGTGCATGACAAAGGGTCTTCGACAGCTCGAAATAGGTTACAAGGTCCACATATGCCATACCACTGGCCAGGTACTTAATTTCTACCAAGTTCACGACGTCATGCGTGTCAGAATCCCAACCACTAGACCATTGGGATAAAGGGGCTTGTTTCAGTAGCAGGTCAGTGCGCCCATAACCCCCAAGGCTAATAGGCCTGTAACCCCCCAAGGATCAATCGGGGATCTCACAGTGCAAGTCTTCTGACACCCCCCCATACTGGGAGGTCCAGGACTCGGCACAGCGGCATCGGCTTGCATGTGCATACACCGGGATTCGAACTCGAGACTGCTTTGATACCATGTCGGAATCCCAACCACTAGACCATTGGGATAAAAGGGCTTGTTTCAGTAGCGGGTCAGTACGCCCATAAACCCCCAGGCTAACAGGCATGTAACCCCCCAAGGATCAATCGGGGATCTCACAGTGCAAGTCTTTTGACAGTGCGAGATGAAGCATCGCTCAACGTAGGGCAGCATGTAGTACGCCATTCCCGTGACAATGTACGCTAGAATGGCATGATTAATCGTGAAGAGATCCCCGAACTCCGTGTCGCCCATGCCATGCAGGTCTTTGTTGAAGTTTAGAAGAAAGAAGAGGGTTGCACTTGCAAGAATGAGGATACAAATAGTAAACCCTAGAAGGGTTGTACTCGCTATAGAGCACCCCACTACAGGCTAGAGCATAATATTCTGACACACCCCCATAGCCAAAGTGGGGTGTAATCAGCAGAGCAAGCAAAGTAGTACAAGCTCAGGGTGGATCACAATGTCACCACACATTCTAAGCACAAGTTCAAGAAGCAATAGTTTAAGTTCACAATTATGAGCAAAGCTAGTGGCTATCGGAGAGGGCATGTGTGGAGGAGGAGGGACTATGGGGGAGAGAAGATGGGAGGCGACTGCTAACACTGCAGATACACAGACGAGCTGCTGGCTCAGTGGCTACCGAAACAGCGCTCCAGACTACTGGAGTAACTGGCCCCGCAGCTAAAAGTAGCGGCAGACGAGCAACATACCCACGGGCGTCTGGCGACTACCGGAGATTGTAGCCTCCAGACTGCTGCTGCTGCTGACGACAAGACTGCTGCCTCCACTCAACCTCCCCCAGCTGCCCAACACCCCTCTCATACACCCACTGCTACACCCCTAGCTCCACTCCCCCTTCACCCCCCTTTAGTACCACTCCACCGGCTCCAACAAGTCCAACCCCCCCTCAGCGGCAGCTGCAGCACAAGGAGATGAAGGAGGAGGAGGAGCAGGGAACGGCACACAGTGGGTGCACCCCCATACCCCTCACCCCAAACCCTAATTCAGGAGAATGGGGAGTAGGAGGGGTGGGGCGCTAGTAGAAGCACTGGGGGACAGCGGGGAGGGCAGGGGCAGCAAGGAACGGGCCCACCACGGGCCTGGTACCGTCATCCGAGCCGCGCGCGGGCCTGGCGCCGCCCGTACGGGCCGCGCGCAGGCCTGGCGCAGCCCGTACGGGCCGCGCGCGGGCCTAGCGCAGTCCGTACGGGCCGCGCACTGCCTGTACGGGCCGCGCGCAGGCCTGGCGCAGCCCACGACGGGCGACGGGGGGCGATGCGTGGGTCCCCGTCGCACGTCGCGGCGCCTCCCGAGGGCAACGCGCCGAATGACGGGGCCGAAGCACGCCGCGTGCCTCGGGGCGCACAGCGGGCAGAGAACCGCCATGCGCCTCGGGGCGCACGGCGGGCAGAAAACCGCCGCGCGCCTCGGGGCGCACGGCGGGAAGAAAAACTGCCACACGCCACGGGGCGTGCGGCACCGAGGGTAGTGGTAGCAGTTGCAGCGGAAGCAAGGAGGTGGTAAGCCCACCCACAGGATCGATCCAAGGGGATCGACTTGCTCTGATAGCATGTTGAAGTTTAGAAGAAAGAAGAGGGTTGCACTAGCAAGAATGAGGATACAAATAGCAAACCCTAGAAGGGTTGTACTCGCTATAGAGCACCCCACTACAGGCTAGAGCATAATATTCTGACAGTCTTCGCCTAGCAGCTCGTAGCGACGCAGATGTGCCCTCCTCTTTTGCTCGGCCGTCCAGTTGGAGCTGTGAGAGCTCTCTGCCGTGGAGTGGTCGCTGTCGAAGACATCGGCTTCCAGCATGTCGCCGACAGCCCGTCCTACTACTTCCATAAAAATGGTATAGTAGAATGTGATCCATGCGACGAGAAGGCATATGAGAAATGGGATAGCACGAGGACCCGCCATGAGTGCAACCACAGCCAGGGCTGCAGTGTGTGTGCGATGTGGTAGTTAAGGAGAAGCAGCAGACGATGATCGTTGTGCATTTGTAGGTGATGCCGTGACGCACTTTGCTGCCTTGAACAAGGTGTTTGGTGTTTCGTAGCAGACGCAAATTGTTCACAGACGTGCCCAGCGCCAAACATCCAAAACTCGGGCGCAATGGGACGAGCCAATCAAATTCGGCCATGTGTACTTGGTTTTCTGTTGCAGAATGTCGCGATACATCAGGTGATTCTAATGCGTAAATTTGTATTTTTACAGAAGCGACTCGGGAAAACGGGCATTGAGACACAAGTGTCCACACAGAAATGTACCCTAATACTACTGCACCGAAATACACGGATCTTCTACAATGAGCAATCGTCATGACAGCTGGGCAACTAGTGCTGCTCGACACGAAAAATCTCCGCCTGCCCGGCTCGAACAAGCTCCGGCCACGATTTTGTGGGCCATTTTGTATCCTCCAGATGGTGACATCTGCAGGGTCGTCGCTAGGGTCTAAGGGACGTCTGATGCATCAAACGTGTCCTCTGGGCAAAAAAAATGTTGTGTCTGATGGTGACTAACCCATAAGATTAATCAGGAAAAAACATGTCTGAATATCAGCCAAACAGACAAAAATGGTCTGCTAGCGACGACCCTGGACACCTATCACTGCGATGCGAAGCTGCTGCAACTCGACGACTCGCATATGTATGGCGCCTTCCATATCAGCCTCCTTCGCAAGTGCGTCCCAGCCACGACAGACAGCATGCGTTAGAGCACCGCCCCAACAGCTCGGCCTGTCCCTAAACCGACACTCGACCCGTCGAAAATTTTGGTGCATCGTGTTCGGCTTGATGTCAGGCATATATGCTATAGTCTGTGTAGGCTGTAGTGGGGCAGTTCATATGGGGTACAACACTTTAGGGTTTACTACTTGTACTCCTCATTCTGCTCAATGCATTCATTCCTTGTTTCTTATCATGGTATCGAGCAGGTTCCCTAGTGGGAACGATTCCTAGAGCCCACCACGATTTTTTTTTTCCTGCCTGGAGCGCGCTTCGCTCCTGTCCGAGTTGCGCTCTGTGTGCCCTCCCTACCGTCGCCTTTAGCGGCCCTTCTCATGGCCCCTTACGCTGCCCTTTACGGCCCCTCGCGCCGCCCTCTACGGACCCTTGCGCCGCCCTTACGGCCCCTCGCGACGCCCGTGGCCCCCCCCCCCCCCCCCCCCCCCCCCCCCCCCCCCCCCCCCCCCCCCCCCCCCCCCCGCTCCCCCTCGCGGCGCCCTTACGGCCCCTTACGGCCTCGTCGCCGCCCCGTCTAGACCCGTTACGGCCCCGTCACCGCCCCGTCTAGGCCCCTTACGGCCCCGTCGCCGCTCCCTCTGGGCCCCTTACGGCCCCATCGCCGCCCCGTCTAGGCCCCATGCGGCCCCGTCTAGGCCCCGTGCCGCCCCTCTACGGCCCCGTCTAGACCCCTTGCGGACCCTCTGCGGCCCCGTTGCGGCTCCTTGCGGCCCCTCTACGGCCCCGTCGTCGCCACCTGCAGGCCCATCGCCGTCACCTGCGGCCCCGTCGCCATCACCTGCGGCCATCCCGCCGCCACCTGCGGCCCTGTCGCCACCACCTACGGCCTCGTCGCCGCCAACTGCGGCCACGCAGCCGCCACCTGCGGCCCCATCGCCGTCAGCTGCGGCCATTCAGCCGCCACCTGCGGCCTCGCCACCACCTGCGGCCCCGTCGCTGTCACCTGTGGCCCCATCGCCCTCCCCTAGCGGCCACGTCACCGCCTCTACCAGCCCTGTCACCGCTCAGCTGCCCAGCGACCGAGCCGCCAAGCAGCCTAGCAGCCGAGCAACCCAGCAGCCGCGCCGCCCAGCAGCCGAGCAGCCGAGCCGCCCTGCAGCCGAGCCGCCCAGCAGTCTAGCCGCCCAGCCGCCAAACCGCCCCAGTGTCGATCTGCTGCTATTCCTACTTGTGAGCTCACTCCCTACTAGGAAACTGCAGTCATGGCTAACCCCAGAGTCCTTACTTTTGATGCTAAGGGCCGTGCCGTTCACCTTGAGGTTTGGGTCGATGACCTCCACTGCGTTCCTCCACTGCGATAGGGCAGACGGCCTCTCTCTGTTCGACCTCACCTCTGGTGCCTCCCCTGCCCCGCCTGCTACTGCTGAGAGCACTTTTCGCTCATAGTGGGCGACACGCGATGCTGCAGCCCGTCTTGCTGTGCATCGCCACTTACAAACCACTGAGCGTGCACACTTTAGCGAGTACAAGAGAGCTCAGACCTTGTACGACGCTGTAGTTGCACGCTACTCTTCCCCTGCCACTGCTGCACTGAGCTGCCTCATGCTACCGTACCTCTTCCCTGACCTTGCTGCCTTTCCCATAGTTGATGACCTCATTACGCACCTCCGCACTAATGACACTCGCTACCGCGCTGCGCTTCCTGCTGAGTTCTGCCCCAAGAACTCCCCCCCCCATGGACATCACCCTCTACTACATAGTCACCCGACTCCCTGACTCTCTCCGCGTAGTCAAGGACCACTTCCTCTCAGTTTGCCCCACCACTCTCACCGTTGACCTCCTGAAGAAGGGCCTCCTAGCAGCAGAGAAGAACATAGTCGCTGTAGGAGCCTCTCGTGGTGACCCTCGCACCCCCGTCTTTGAGGGGTGTTCCCCCTCCCCCCTCTTGCCCTTTATTGCTTCTGCTGCTGCGGCCGACCTCGTTGGTTTCAAGTCGGTCGGCGCTGCGTCTGCCCCTTCCGGGAGGGGCTGGCGGGGGCGGTGGAGGTAGTGGTGGAGGCAGACGAGGGGGTGGGGGTGGTGGTGGGAGTGATGGCAGGGGTTGCGGTGGCAGCGGCAGCAGTGGAGGCAGAGGAGGCGGAGGTGGTGGCGGAGGGAGCGGAGGCGGCGGAGATGGCGGAGGAGGCAGAGGTGGAGGAGGCGGCCGAGGCGGTGGCGGCGGCGGCGGTGGAGCGGGTCGCGCCTCTGCGCAGAGGAGTGGCTCAGGTGGTGGTCCGCGCCAGCAACAGCGGAGTGGTGTGACTCTGTCCCCTCAACAGCTTCGTCAACGCGGCGGGCGTACTGGTCCCTGCAGTTACGTCCCCCGTACTGGCGACCGAGCTGATGAGCAGTGCGGGGGCGCGCACTCCACCCAGCCCTGCTTCAGTCGCCTTACGGACGCGTGGCATCGCCAGTTCCCTGAGGCGTCAGAGATCCCTCGCTGGGGAGATATGTCTATGGCAGGGGTTGCCATCTTTGATCTTGACTATGATGCTATCCTTGCTGCCATGTATTTTGTAACTACTATTGTTGAGGGTGACAGTTACCTGTGTGTACCGTTTGACCCGGGCATTGAGGCTACTGCTCTAAGTGCTGGTGAGGCTGCTGCTCTAGGTGCTAGTGCGTCTGCTGCCCCAGGTGCTAGTGCGTCTGCTGCCCCAAGTGCTTGTGAGTCTGCTCTCTCAGGTACCACGTCGGCTTAGGCCTTACACATCTTCACCCTTGACTTGGGTGTGTCCCGCTCCTTCTTTCAAGACCGCATCACTCTTACGCCGCTTAGTCGGTCGGTTGTAGTCTTCCTGGCTGACCCCTCTGGGGGTCGTGTCCTTGCTAGCTTCTTCACTATCTTACCGGGCCGAGCAGCCCCCTCTGGCACCCTGTCAGGTCTCTACCTCCCCTTGTTCTCTACGAACTTGGTGAGTGAAGCGGACCTACAGGATAGGGGGATTGACCAGTTCACTCCTGTGAGTCAGCGGGTGACTGACTGCACGTGTGCTCGGACAGGCCGACACTTGGCCACGTTCACCCGTCGGCAAGGTTCCAGCCTGTACACCCTTACTGCTAAGTCTCCTCCTACAGCTGAGCAAGGTTGGTCACCCCTCCCTGCCTCGTCTCCGAAGCATGGCCTCCCGTGTCCTTGTCTATGGTCTCCCCCGGTCTCTCCCTCCCCTACCTCGAGGGCGTGCCCCTACCTACGTCCTGTTGGTGCAACCCTACGGTTTGCACTCGGCTTGTTGTCCGTGTGCGTGCATGTGTGTGTGTATGGAATGGCATGAGGGCATGGGATAATATATATTTCATGCTTATAATTGTGTGTGAATGTTGAGTCATGATGTCGAGTGTGTGTGTCGAGTCAATAGCGAGATATCGCTAGACGCGTGTTACGCGGTTGTTTGTGTCTCGCGCGCGGTTTCTATTTTGTCCTGTGTCGAACGTTCGGCGTGTCGCAGGTGTGTGCAGAAGACCCATCAAGAACCCAAGGATGAGTTTGTGATGAAGAGCCCGAGCCTTTGTGTCAGGCCTCGAGTGATTTCGAAGCTCGCCAAAAGGGTGCACCTCAAGATATTGAATATAGTTACATTACTTTGTGTAGTGTAACATTTCACTTGGTGTAGGCCCTAGTGAAGGGTAGTTTCGAGACCCTTCGTGGTTGGGGACAGTGTGGCACTGTTCCACATTACTGTACCTTGGCTCTTGGGGTTTGTAGGAGCTGGGAGTCATTCCCAACTCGTAACTCTTCCTAACTTCTTCCTATCTTGTGTTCTAAGACTATAGTGGCTGCCATAGTGCCGTTCGTTCAAACCAGTGCTGTGTCGTCAATACTTGGTCAGATAGTGCGATCTAAATTTCCTATTGTAGGCGACAATAAGACGCTCCAGATCCAAGTTGAATCAAGTCATTTGAAGTTCTGACCAGAACGATATGATCGTTTGAAGCCGCTGTGCAGAAATCCGACTCTGCACTCTATCTTTCGTTTTAGGCACATTGCAGCCTACTGTGACTATAACACGTCCGTTGCGTCGAGGGGCGACAGCACGACGCCCCTCACTCCTCCGAGTTTCCTCCGACAGAGGCTCCGCTGCAGTCTCTTCACATGGACGTGTGGGGCCCCGCCCGCGTCGATGGACAGGGACACAAGCTTTACTTCCTGTTGGTGGTTCATAACTACTCGCGTTACACCACAGTCTTCCCCTTGCGCAGCAAGGGTGATATCATTGGGGTGTTGATCGACTAGATCCGCGCAGCTCGTTTCCAGCTCAAAGAGAGTTTCGGCTCGGACTTTCCTGTTCTGCGTCTGCACTCGTACAGAGGCGGGGAGTTTTCCTCCGCCCTTCTGGGAGCCTTCTGTCGTGCACAAGGCATCCGCCAGACCTTCACGCTTCCGGCCTCTCCATAGAAAAATGGGATTGCTGAGCGCCGAATTGGCATGGTCATGGAAGTCGCTCGTACGTCCATGATCCATGCGGCTGCCCCCATTTTCTGTGGCCGTTTGTAGTTCAGTACGCGGCGCATCAGCTCAACCTTCAGCCCCGGGTCTCCTTGCCAGAGACCTCCCCCACCTTGCGGTGGACAGGGAAGGTTGGCGATGCGTCTGCGTTTCGGGTCTGGGGATCTCGGGCGTTTTTCCGCGACTTGTTTGAGGACAAGCTGTCCCCCCGTGCTGTTCCCTGCGTCTTCCTCGGCTTCCCCCCTGACGCGCCTGGGTGGCAGTTTTACCACCCCACCTCGCGCCGTGTTCTGTCCTCCCAGGACGTCACCTTTAACAAATCGGTGCCTTAGTACCGTCTCTTCCCCTACCGCGCTGCGACCCTTCTCTCGCCGCCGCTCTTCCTTGTGCCAGGTCCTCCCCCAGTAGACCCCCTCCCCCCTCAAATTCCTGCCTCGTAGGTGTGTCCCAGGAAGACGCAATCGAGCTAATCTAGGTTGCTGTTGACTCCGGTGCTGCAAGAGGTGCTGAGCCTGCATGTGCCGGGTCTGGAGGTGCTGAGCCTGCATGTGCTAATTCTGGGGGTGCTGAGCCTGGGGGTGCTGAGACTGGGGGTGCTGAGCCTGGGGGTGCTGAGTCTGGGAAGCGGAGCCTGGGGGTGTGGAGCGTGGGGGTGCGGAGCCTCCTCGAGAAGGGCCTCCTAGCAGCAGAAAAGAACAGAGTCGCTGTAGGAGCCTCTCGTGGTGACCTTCGCATCCCCGTCGTTGAGGGGTGTTCCCCCTCCCCCCTCTTGCCCTCTGTTGCTTCTGCTGCTGCGGCCGACCTCGTTGGTTTCAGGTCGGTCGGCGCTGCGTCTGCCCCTAGCAGGAGACGCAGCACCGGCAAGGTTGGCGATGCGTCTGCGTTTTGGGTCTTGGGATCTCGGGCGTTTGTCCACGACTTGTTTGCGGCCAAGCTATCTCCCCGTGTTGTTCCCTGCGTTTTTCTCAGCTTCTCCCCTGACGCGCCTGGGTGGCAGTTTTACCACCCCACATTGCGCCGTGTTCTGTCCTCCCTGGACGTCACCTTAGACGAGTCGGTGCCTTACTACCGTCTCTTCCCCTACCGCGCTGCGCCCCTTCCCCCGCCGCCGCTCTTCTTTGTGCCGGCTCCTCCCCCCGGAAAACCCCCTCCCCCCTCACGGTCCTGCCCCGTCAGGTGTGTCCCAGATAGACGCAATCAAGCCTGTCTAGGCTGCTCTTGACTCTCGTGCTGCTAGAGGTGCTGAGCCTGCAGGTGCCGGGTTTGGAGGTGCTGAGCCTACAGGTGCTGAGTCTGGGGGTGCTGAGCCTGGGGGTGCTGAGACTGGGGATGCTGAGCCTGGGGGTGCTGAGTCTGGGGGTGCGGAGCCTGGGGGTGCGGAGCCTGGGGGCGCTGGGTCTGCTCGTGTGGCCGCCGGCGGTGCTTCGTCGAGGCGGGAGCTACTCTCTCCGCAGGAGCTGCGCGAGTGGTTTGCCCGGCGCTGGAGTCGTGCTGCTGGAGCTGGAGGCACTACTGTTGCTGCTGGTTCCGGAGGTGCTCGTACTGGCGGTACTAGAGCTGCTAGGACTTGGGGGTGCTTCTGAAGCTGCTGGAGTTGGTCCTGCTGGAGCTGCTGGCGGTGTTGGAGCTGCCGGTCCTGCTGGAGTTGGTGCTACTGGAGCTGCTGGAGCTGGAGCTACTCGGGGTGTTGGCCCTGGTGTTTCTGCTGGCGCTGGTGCGTCAGAGGGTGCTGGAGCTGACGCTGTTGGAGCTGGAGGTGCGGCTGGCGCTGGTGCTGCTGCTGGGGGTACTGGTGCCATCTCTGCTTGTTCTGGAGGCGCTACGCGGCCGAGGTCGTACTTCGTTCCACTCCTAAAACAGGTTCTTGGTCTCCTGCCCTCTACTGCTCCTACTCCTCCCTTAGAGTGTCCACAACCCGTCCAGTCGAAGTCACAGTTACAGCCCGCATCCCCTCTTCCTACTCCTTCTCCCTACAGTGGTCCTACTGGAGGTCTTGCTGAGCATCGTGAGCCTGCGTCTCGTCCTGCGTCGCTTGTTCGCACTGCTCGCACTAGTCGTCGTGTTCCGCGTCCTCCTACGTTTGCAAGCACACACCACATGGCACTGCGTCCTTCCACTTCTTCTCTGCGTGTCCCGTTGCCGTCTCCTCTAGAGTCCTCTCTTCGTGTCCGTCCTGACCCTGAGTCTGACTATCTTCGTGCTGCCACTCCTACTGTCACGCGTCTCTTGGCCACTGTTGTCATTGACCCTTCCTTTGAGTCCACCGGTGCGTCTGCCTTGTCGACTTCGCTGCTCGCTGTCCTCTAGACTACGCCACTAGTCTTCTTGCTGAGTCTGAGTCTGTCCGTCCTCCGTCCGTCGGGGGTGAGTGTGCTCTTGGCACGGACGTCCTTGAGGACAAGCAGGAGGAGTTCCAGTGTTTTGCCGCTGCTTTGCCTCATCTCGTGTCCACGCTGATTGCCCCTGAGGGAGACCCGGATGCACCAGACATCCCGACTCCTCGATCGTACGCTGAGGCGATCGAGGGTCCCTAGTCCTCTCAATGGCAGTCAGCCATGGACGCAAAGATGGCTTCTTGGAAGTCCACTGGCACCTACGTTGACGAGGTTCCCCCACCTGGGGCGAACATCGTCAGTGGCATGTGGATTTTCAGGGTGAAGCGGCCGCCGGGTTCTCCGCCTGTCTTCAAGGCGCGTTACGTGGCTCGAGGCTTCAGTCAGCGGCAGGGAGTTGACTACTTTCAGACCTTCTCTCCCACCCCGAAGATGACCACTCTTCGGGTGCTGCTCCACATAGCCGCTCAGCGCGACTACGAGCTTCACTCTCTTGACTTCAGCACAGCTTTCCTACAGGGCAGCCTGCACGAGGAGATATGGCTGCGCCGCCCACCTGGCTTCACTGGGTCGTTTCCTCCTGGTACCAAGTGGAGCCTCAGGCGGCCAGTTTATGGTCTCCGCCAGGCGCCCCGTGAGTGGCACGACAAACTGAGGACTACACTTGCGGCTCTTGGGTTTGCTCCTTCTACAGCCGGCCCATCGCTGTTTCTGCGCACCGACACCTCTTTGCCGCCATTCTACATCCTCGTGTATGTCGACGACTTGGTCTTTGCCACTGCTGACACTGCTGGACTCGCCCACGTGAAGTAGGAGCTGCAGAAGAGACACACGTGCACAGACCTCGGTGAACTGCGCAGCTACCTTGGCTTGCAGATCACCCGGGTCAGAGCACAGCGCACCATTACCCTGACTCAGTCACACATGGTGCAGCAGGTCCTTCAGCGCTTCGGCTTCACGTACTCCTCGCCTCAGGCCACTCCTCTGTCTACTCGCCACTCGCTCTCAGCTCTGCCTTCGGATGAGTCCGTAGAGCCGAGTGGCCCGTACCCAGAGCTTGTTGGCTGCCTCATGTACCTGATGACCTGTACACGACCTGACCTTGCATACCCTCTTAGCATCTTGGCACGCTATGTTGCTCCTGGGAGACACGGACCAGAGCACATGGCTGCAGCGAAGAGGGTGTTGTGCTACGTGTGCAGTACGTCGAGCATGGGGCTAGTGCTTGGAGGGCGACATCGAGTGGTTCTCACAGGTCACGCAGACACTTCTTAGGTTGAAGACCAGCCGAGACAGCGGTCCTCACAGGGTTACACCTTCAGCCTTGGCTCCGGCCCTGTTTCGTGGCAGTCTACCCGCTCGTCTTCTGTTCTCGGCTCCAGCTGTGAGGCTGAGATCTACGCGGGGGCCATGGCTGCACAGGAGCTACAGTGGCTCACCTACCTGCTGACTGACCTATGAGAGCCGCCTCGTTCTCCTCCAGATCTGTACGTAGACAACAAGGCCATGCTGGCCTTTTGTTGGGAGCACAGACACGAGCACAGAACGAAGCACATTGCTCTTGGCTACTTCCTGGCTCGTGAGCTGCAACAGCATGGTCAGCTCCGCCTCACCTACGTGGCCTCTGAGGCCAACACTGCTGATATCTTTTCCAAGGCCCTTCCGCTTGTGATCATCAGCGCTTCTGTGCTATGCTAGGCCTTGTGCCTACTTGGCCTCACTTGCTCACTTCTTGACCTTGTTTGTACTGTACTCTTTATATACCTGCACTTGCTTGTTCACCATAACATATATGATGTTGCATGTGAACTAGCCTTGTCGCCTTGCTGTTGTGCTCGGACTATGTGGTGACGTTGTGATCCACCATGAGCTTGCTTTGCTTTGCTTTGCTTTGCATGACTGGCCTTGTGACCCCTTATTCTCCCCCACTTGTGCAGTACGTCGGCCATGGGGCTAGTGCTTGGAGGGCGACGTCGAGTGGTCCTCACAGGTCACGCAGATGCTTCTTGGGCTGACGACCAGGCTCTGCAGTGGTCGTCACACGGTTACACCTTGAGCCTTGGCTCCGGCTCTGTTTCGTGGCGGTCTACCCGCTCATCTTTTGTTCTCACCTCCAGCTGTGAGGCTGAGATCTACGCGAGGGCGATGGCTGCACAGGAGCTACACTGGCTCATCTACCTGCTGACTGACCTAGGAGGGCCACCTCATTCTCCTCCAGTTCTGTACCTAGACAACAAGGCCATGCTGGCCTTGTGTCGGGAGCACAGACACGAGCACAAATCGAAGCACATTGCTCTTCGCTACTTCCTGGCTCGTGAGCTGCAGCAGCATGGTCAGGTCCACCTCACCTACGTGGCCCTTGAGGCCAACACTGCTGATATCTTTACCAAGGCCCTTCCGCCTGTGATCATCAGCGCTTCTATGCTATGCTAGGCCTTGTGCCTACTTGGCCTCACTTGCTCACTTCTTGACCTTGTTTGTACTGTACTCTTTATATACCTGCACTTGCTTGTATACTTTTATATATATGATCTTGCATGTGAACTGGCATTGTGCTCAAACTGTATGGTGACGTTGTGATCCACCTTGAGCTAGCTTTGCTTTGCTTGACTGGTCTTGTGACCCCTTGTTCTTCCCCACTTTGCCTATGGGCGTGTGTTAGGCATATGTGCTATAGTCTGTGTAGGCTGTAGTGGGGCAGTTCATATGGGGTACAACACTTTAGGGTTTACTACTTGTACTCCTCATTCTGCTCAATGCATTCATTCCTCGTTTCTTAACACTTGACGCCGCTAATCGCCACATAGACTTTTTGGTCCGTTGGACCGACCGCACCTGTGAGGACGGCACTTGGTGTCAAACTTATATGCTATAGACTGTGTATGCTGTAGTGGGGTAGACAATATGGGGTACAACATTTCTAGGTTTTCCTACTAGTACCCACCTCTTTCCGAGTTCATTCATTCCTCGTTTCTTCACATGGTATAGAGCAGGTTCCCTAATGGGAACGCTTCTTAGGGCCCACCCTTGGAATCGAGCTTTTTTTTCTGACCGGAGCGCAAGTCGCCCCTGCCCGAGGCGCGCTCCGTGGGCCGCCTTCTCGTCGAGTCGCCCCTGCGCTTAGCGCCCTATCGCGCCCTCCTAGAGGCCCCTCTCACGGCCCCTTGCGCCACCCTTAGCGGCCCCATGGCCACCCCTAACGGCCCCTTCGCTGCCCCTAACGGCCCCGTCGCCGCCCTCCTAGGTCCCTCGCGGCCCCTTTGCGGCCCCTTCGCGGCCCCGTCGCCACCCCTAGCGGCCCCGTCGCGGCCCCCCTCGAGGCCCCTCGCGGCCCCTTTGCAGCCCCGTCGCCGCCCCTAGCGGCTCCGTCGCCGCCCCTATCGGCCCCGTCGCCGCCCTACGCGGCCTCGTCGCCGCCCCTAGCGGCCCCGTCGCCGCCCCTCCCGGCCCCGTCGCCGCCCCTCGCGGCCCTGTTGCCGCCCTTCGCGGCCCCGTTGCTGCCCTAGCGGCCCCGTCGCCGAATCTCACGGCCTCATCACCGCCCTTAACGGCCCCGTCGCCACCCCTTGCGGTCCTGTCGCCGCCCTTTTCGGTCCCTCCCCGACCCCTTCACCGCCGAGCAGCAGAGCCGCCGAACCGCCGAGCCGCCCAGCACCCGAGCCGCCGAGCCGCCGAGCCGCCCAGCAGCCGAGCCGCCGAACCGCCAAGCCGCCGAGCCACCTAGCAGCCAAGCCGCCGAGGCCGCCGTCGAGCCACCACTGCCGAGCCGCTGTCACCGCGGTTGCCGCCCTGTTCCTTCCAGCGCGCCCCGGCCCTACCCACTCGGACAGGTGAGAGCACTCCCTGCTAGACCACTGTTGTCATGGCTACCCCCAGTGTCCTCACCTTTGATGCTGAAGGTCATGCTTTTGACTTCGAGGTCTGGGTCGATGACCTCCAGCTCTTCCTACAGTGCGATAGGGCAGATGGACTCTCCCTGTTCGATCTCACCTCTGGTGCCTCTCCTGCCTCGCCTGCTGATGCTGACAGCACTGTTCGCTCACACTGGGCCACCCGCGATGCTGCAGCCCGTCTTGCTGTGCATCGCCACTTACCGACCGCTGAGCGTGCGCACTTTAGTCAGTACAAGAGTGTTAAGACCTTGTATGAAGCTGTAGTTGCACGCTACTCTTCCCCTGCCACTGCTGCCCTTAGCCGCCTCATGCTGCCGTACCTGTTCCCTGACCTCGTCGCCTTTCCCACTGTTGCTGGCCTCATTAAGCACCTTCGCACTAGTGACACCCGCTACCGAGCTGCTCTTCCTGCTGAGTTCTACACCAAGAACCCCCCCCCCCCATGTACATCACCCTCTACTACATAGTCACCCGGCTCCCAGACTCCCTTCGCTCGGTCAGGGACCACTTCCTCTCTGTTTGCCCCACCACACTCACCGTTGACCTCCTCGAGGAGCGCCTCCTGGCAGCTGAGAAGAGTATAGTTGCTGTAGGAGCCTCTCGTGGTGACCCTCGTGCCCCCTTCTTTGAGGGGTGCTCCCCCTCCCCCGTGTTGCCCTGTGTTGCCTCTGCTGCTGCCGTCGACCTCGTTGGCTTTGAGTCAGTCGGAGCTGCGTCTGCCCATAGCGGGCGACGCTGCACCAGCAAGGGCGAGGGGGGCAAGGGCGCTGGAGGGGCTAGCGGGGGCGGTGGAGGTGGAGGTGGAGGAGGCGGAGGGAGTGGGGATGGTGGTGGGAGTGGTGGCGGAGGTGGGGGCTTCAGTGGCGGCGGTGGCGGCGGAGGCGGCGGCGGCGGTGGCGGTGGGAGCGGAGGAGGAGGCAGTGGCGGCGGTGGCGGAGGTGGCGGCGGAGGAGGTGGAGCTAGTCGGGGTGGCTCTGCGCAGCGGGGCGGCTTAGGTGGTGGTGAGCGCCAGCAGCAGCAGCGCACTTGTGAGAACCCGTCCCCCCAGCAGCTTTGTGAGTGGTACGCTGGGCGTTAGCGAGGTGGGGGTACTAGTCACTGTACCTACGTCCTCCGTACTGGCAACCGCGCTAATGAGCAGTGCGGGGGCCCGCACTCCACCCAGCGCTGCTTCGGCCGCTTGACGGACGCTTGGCGTCACCAGTTCCCTGACGTCACTGAGATCCCTCGCTTGGGAGATCTGTCTAGGGCGGGGGTTGCATCTTTAATCTTGACTATGATGCTATTCCTGCTGCCATGTATGCTATGTCTACTAGTGATGAGGGTGACTCTTACCTGTGTGTTCCGCCTGACCCAGGCATTGAGGCTGCTGCTCTAGGTGCTGGTGAGGCAGCTGCTCTAGGTGCTTGTGCGTCTGCTGCCCCAGGTGCCGGTGAGTCTGCTCTCTCAGGTACCACGTCGGCTCAGGCCTTACACACCTTCACCCTTGACTCGGGTGCTTCCCGCTCCTTCTTTCGACATCGCACCACGCTTACGCCGCTTAGTTGGCCGGTTGCAGTCTCCCTGGCGGACCCCTCTGGGGGTCCTGTCCTTGCTCACTTCTCCGCTGTCTTACCGTGTCCGGCAGCCCCCTCTGCCACCCTGTTTAGATGGGGGGGTTGACCAGTTCACTCCTGCGGGTCCGCGGGTGACCCACTGTACGTGTGCTCAGATGGGCCAACACTTGGCCACGTTTACCCGTCGGCCGGGGTCGAGCCTGTACACACTGACTACTGAGTCCCCTCCGGTTGCTGCGTCTGGTCAGATATCTGCGTCGAGTCAGGTGTTTGCTGCAGCGTCCAGGTCTGGTCCTGAGTGTGCTCCCTGCTCATGTCGTCTCCTGTCCCACCAGACCCTCCTCTAGCACCACCGCCTTGGTCACCCCTCCCTGCCTCGTTTCTGAGGTATAGCCTCCCGTGTCATTGTCTCTGGTCTCCCCCGGTCCCTCCCTCCAGGGCCTGCCCCTACTTACGTTCCCTGCGTCGAGGGGCGGCAGCGCGCCGCCCCTCACTCCTCCGAGTTTCCTCCGACAGAGGCTCCGCTGCAGACTCTTCACATGGACGTGTGGGGCCCCGCCCGCGTCCGTGGCCAGGGTCACGAGCGTTACTTCCTGTTGGTGGTTGACGACTACTCGCATTACACCACGGTGTTCCCCTTGCGCAGCAAGGGTGACGTCACTGGGGTGTTGATCGACTGGATCCGCGTAGCTCGTCTCTAGCTCAAAGAGAGTTTCGGCTCAGACTTTCCTGTTCTGCGTCTGCACTCTGACAGAGGCATAGAGTTTTCCTCTGCCCTTCTGGGAGCCTTCTGTCGTGCACAGGGCATCCACCAGACCTTCACGCTTCCGGCCTCTCCACAACAAAATGGGATTGCTGAGCGCCGCATTGGCATGGTCATGGACGTCGCTCGTACGTCCATGATCCATGCGGCTGCTCCCCATTTTCTGTGGTCGTTTGCGGTTCAGTACGCAGCGGATCAGATCAACCTTCAGCCCCGTGTCTCCTTGCCGGAGACCTCTCCCACCCTGAGGTGGACGGGGAAGGTTGGCGATGCGTCTGCGTTCCATGTGTGGAGATCTCAAGCGTTTGTCCGCGACTTGTCTGCGGACAAGCTGTCCCCCCGTGCGGTTCCCTGCGTCTTCCTTGGCTTCCCCCCTGACGCGCCTGGTTGGCAGTTTTACCACCCCACCTCGCGCCGTGTTCTGTCCCCCCAGGACGTCACCTTTGACGAGTCGGTGCCTTACTACCGTCTCTTCTCCTACCGCACTGCGCCCCTCCCCACGCCGCCGCTCTTCCTTGAGCCAGGTCCTCCCCCGGTAGACCCTCTCCCCCCTCAGGGTACTGCCCCGTCAGGTGTGTCCCAGGTAGACGCAGTCGAGCCTGTCGAGGTCGCTGTTGACTCTGGTGCTGCTAGGGGTGCTGAGCCTGTGGGTGCTGAGTCTAGGGGTGCTGAGCTTGCGAGTGCTGAGTCTAGGGGTGCTAAGCTTGGGGGTGCTGAGTCTGGGGGTGTTGAGCCTGGGGGTGCCGACCTTGGGGGTGCGGAGCCTGGGGGTGCTGAGCCTGGGGGTCCTGCTCCTCCCTTATAGTGTCCACAACCTGTCCAGTCGCGATCACAGTTACAGCCCGCTTCCCCCCTACCTGCTCCTTCTCCCTACACTGGTTCTACTGGAGGGCTTGCTGAGTGTCGTGAGCCTGCGTCTCGTCCTGCGTCGCCCGTTTGTGCTGCTCACAATAGTAGTCGTGCTGCAAGTCCTACTGTCACGCGTCTCTTGGCTACTTTTGTCACTGACCCTTCCTTTGAGTCCACTACTGCGTCTGCCTTAGTTGTTGAGCTTCTTGACATTGCTGCTCGCTATCGTCTAGACTACATTGCTAGTCTTATTGCTGAGTCTGAGTCTGTCTGTCCTCCGTCCGTCGGGGGTGAGTGTGCTCCTAGCACGGACGTCTTTGAGGACAAGCAGGAGGAGTTCCAGTGTTTTACTGCTGCTTTGCCTCATCTCAAATCCACGCTGATTGCCCCTGAGGGAGACCCGGATGCACCAGACATCCCGACTCCTCGATCGTACGCTGAGGCGATCGAAGATCCCTACTCCTCACAGTAGCAGTCAGCCATGGACGCAGAGATGGCTTCCTGGAAGTCCACAGGCACCTACGTCGACGAGGTTCCCCCACCTGGGGTGAACATCGTCAGTGGCATGTGGATTTTCAGGGTGAATTGGCCGCCGGGTTCTCCGCCTGTCTTCAAGGTGCGTTACGTGGCTCGAGGCTTCAGTCAGCGGCAGGGAGTTGACTACTTTCGGACCTTCTCTCCCACCCCGAAGATGACCACTCTTTAGGTGCTGCTGCACATAGCCGCTCAGCGCGACTACGAGCTTCACTCTCTTGACTTCAGCACAGCTTTCCTGCAGGGCAGCCTGCACGAGGAGATTTGGTTGCGCCGCTCACCTGGCTTCACTGGGTCGTTTCCTCGTGGTACCTAGTGGAGCCTCTGGCGGCTAGTCTACGGTCTCCGCCAGGTGCCCCATGAGTGGCACGACACACTGAGGACTACACTTGCGGCTCTTGGGTTTGCTCCTTCTACAGCGGGCCCGTCACTGTTTCTACGCACCGACACCTCTTTGCCGCCATTCTACATCCTCGTGTACGTCGACGACTTGGTCTTTGCCACTGCTGACACTGCCGGACTAGCCCACGTGAAGTCCGAGCTGTAGAAGAGACACACGTGCACAGACCTGGGTGAACTGCGCAGCTACCTTGGCTTGCAGATCACCCGGGTTAGAGCACAGCGCACCATTACCCTCACTGAGTCACACATGGTGCAACAGGTCCTTCAGCGCTTCGAATTTTCGTATTCCTCGCCTCAGGCCACTCCTATGTCTACTCGCCACTCGCTCTCAGCTCTGCCTTCGGATTAGTCCGTAGAGCCGAGTGGACCGTACCCAGAGCTTGTTGGCTGCCTCATGTACCTGATGACCTGCACACGACCTGACCTTGCATACCCTCATAGCATCTTGGCACACTATGTTGCTCCTGGGAGACACCAACCGGAGCACATGGATGCAATGAAGAGGGTGTTGCGCTACTTGTGCAGTACGTCGGGCATGGGGCTAGTGCTTGGAGGGCGATGTCGAGTGGTCCTCACAGGTCACGGTGGCGCTTCTTGGGCTGAGGACCAGGCTACGCAGCGGTCGTCACAGGGTTACACCTTCAGCCTTGGTTCCGGCTCTGTTTCGTGGCGGTCTAACCGCTCGTCTTCTGTTCTCGGCTCTAGCTGTGAGGCTGAGATCTATGCGGGAGCCATGGCTGCACAGGAGCTACGCTGGCTCACCTACCTGCTGACTGACCTAGGAGAGCCGCCTCGTTCTCCTCCAGTTCTGTACGTAGACAACAAGGCCATGCTAGCCTTGTGTCGGGAGCACAAACTGGAGCAGAGAACGAAGCACATTGCTCTTCGCTACTTCCTTGCTCGTGAGCTGCAGCAGCGTGGTCAGCTGCGCCTTGCCTACGTGGCCTCTTAGGCCAACGCTGCTGATATCTGTACGATGCTAGGTCAGCTGCGCACTTCCGCCTTGTGATCATCAGCGCTTCTGTACGATGCTAGGTCTTGTGCCTTCTTGGCCTCACTTGCTCACTTCTTTACCTTGCTTGTAATGTGATCTTTCTATACCTGCACTTGCTTGTTTTCCTTTATACATGATATTGCATTTGAACTAGCCTTGTGGCCTTGAACTTGTGCTCGGACTGGGTGGTGACGTTGTGATCCACCCTGAGTTTTTTTTGCTTTGCTTGACTGGTCTTGTGACCTCTTGTTCTTCCCCAGTTTTCCTATGGGGGTGTGTCAAACTTATATGCTATAGTGTGTGTAGGCAGTATTGGGGCAGACAATATGGAGTACAACATTTCTTGGTTTTCCTACTTGTACCCACCCTTTCCTAGTTCATTGATTCCTCATTTCATCACACTTGGGTGTCATACGCCTCGCTCGAAGCTTTCCCGCTTCTTGGTGATTATCTCGCCCGCAAGCGAGCTGCGAATATTGACCACCTTTCTTAAGGGGAAGGGGGGGGGGGGGGGGTAGTGCAAGGAATTTCCCTTCTTCCTTACTGGGTTGACTGCTATGCGTACAATCCCGACAATCGGACTTCGCACGTTCGGCTGACATCCACGATGCCGAGGCTACCCCGCGTCACCTTCGGCGGCTTTTCGATCGCCAAACCTGCACCCAACCTTGTTTTCCCGAGGTTCCCTCCTACCTAGGTTAGTCAATATATTTGCGCGTGCCTTCATTGTATTATCAGTTCATTCAGTCATAAGCCTCGTTATTTTTTATAACTCTCTTTTACAACTCATAAGACGCGGACTGTTACGGGGGGATTTATTTCCAACTCACCCTTATCCTTATCTTCCTTGATTTCCTTGTGCCACGTGGCACTCTACTTTTCTTGCTTCTACTTTTTAGTCCCACGAAGTACTTTCCATCATTCGATCTTGCATGCTATATCAACCTTGCTTGTATTCCCCAATATCAACCGATTCTCATTAAACTCTTCTTCAATTGCTCAGTAATTTCTTCGCCTATTTCGCTATTAGTTCTTTTGCCAAAGTCTTCCACCGTGTTTCATCCTTCACTTAGTCAACCTTGCTAATTCTTTAGCGGACTTAGGCCAGCGGGCCTAACACTTGGTATCAGGAGCCTTTTGCAGGGAGCGACTTCCAACAAGCGACCGACGAGACTATGACATCATCGTCCCGCGGTGCCGACTTGCAGACTTGGAGTCGTCGAGCAACATGGACAAGACCCTGAACACTCTCCTCACCGACATGGGCAACACGTTTGCTCAACTCGTGCGCCAACTCGAACAGTTGACGTTGGAAAATCGTCAGGTACGGGCTGAAATGCAACAGCTTCGTAAATTTGCGTCGATATCTCATGGTCATGCCGCACCATCTCCTTCACCCAACACGCCGACTGGCGCGGAAGCATTGCCGGAACCTCGAAGCGCGCTCAAGCCGCAGAAGCCCGAGCCGTTCGACTCAAGCCAACGCGACGCGAACGTGCGGACATGGATCTTCATGCTCAACAACTACTTCGCCACGAGCGGGGTGCAAGAGGCGGACACGCAG